GTTTAAAATGTCAGCAAAATTTTATATTTTAAGATGTACCCCATTTGGATCCAACAATTATAGGACAAGCACCATGTAAAGTACGCATATCACCATCACCCGAAGCATGTAAATTGTACCAAAATGCTGCTGTTCCCTTTTTAGGCATCAGCAGCGTCTTTAAGTGCGGAAACGCTGTTCCTCCGCCTTGTTCGACATCACTAAGCTACAAAGTATTCACAGTTATATTATTATAAACAAATGATATTGTCACTTTTACATAAAACAAAACTGTTCCGATGCGGTTTCCCATCTCTGGAGATGCTATTAAGGATTTATCCTATGAAAGTTTTAAATATAAAAATGATTAAAAAATATTAATACAATATTTGAAACTTACTGCATTGTAAAACCAATCATAATGTTGTGCATAGTGTCCACCGACACCATAATTTGCAAACTGATGATCTTCTGAATAAAGCATATTAAGATTCGTCATATCTTCCACGCGTCTATCAATCGTTTCCAACAATCTATGTTGAGATTTTGGTAAGAAAACAAACTGACTAGTTCGAACGGGAGATATAACTGAGCCATTATGTCCAATAATGGTCGCTCTTTGAATTCTGTTATGAACCAACTCCTTCATAACCGCAATCTCATTATCGGATATTATATCATAATAAAGTACCAACAAAGGATCATGGTTTAGTTCCTCAACTTTAATTGGTGCTAAATTTAAAAAGGGATGTGTCTCTGTTAAATATCCGCACCTTAAGTACCGTTCTTCACTAGCACTACGTTTTAAATATCCACTGCAAGTTAACTTATAGGCGTCATCTTCACTAAGATTGTACATATTAACAGGTAGTGGCTGCAATTTGTTATTAACATTAAAGGTCTTAAAACTTGCTTAAAATATGTTATACCTCGTGTTCATCCATTAAGTCCACTTCTAAAATAATCTGTTTCCTATATTTTTCTAGGAAGCTGGCATATTTCTTAACAAATGCTTTATTATCCGGTGTTAGCAATAGCAATTTCATATATATTTGATTTGCACCTCTAAAATCTCTCAACACAATTTTACTTTGAGCCAGCGAATCAAGAATTTTAATCTGCAGTGTTAAATTAGTTTTGTTAGGATCACCATTTTTGTCCAAAGCTTTCAAAAACCAAGAATGTGCCAGTTTTGGTTTATTAATATTACTGGCTTGTTGACCTATATCGAAACAGAGTGACGCATCTAAATAAGTACTAAATAAATCATAAGCAAGAAATATAATTAGATTGATCGAAATAATATAAAAGTAGAATATTGCTTACGGATACACTCTACCCTGCAGTACACCAGAGGCCATATCGTTAGTCTTTAACCGATATATGTCTTGCAAACGTAAAAATCCTTCGATAGCTCCTCTCAATTCCGATTCATCAGGAAACATCTCTTTTTGCATACTTTTTTTGATTTTATCCAAATGTTCTAAAAATTAAAATAATAGCATTGTAAAATAAACAATATGTTCATTTAAACAAACTTTTTCCAGATTTATGTTCAATTAAGTTTTGCACCCGCTCCCAATCTACTAAAAGACGCTTTGTTAACAGATATTTATTAACGGGATTTTCAAAGTACTCTAATCCAATCGAAAGCGCTTCATCGTGTTCAGTTTCCATTTCTATAAGTCGTCTATTTTATTAAAAATATACTAAATGTTTATATGATATTCATCTTTTGATTTAGTACTCACGTCTTCAAAAATACCAATTTATTTTCGTTTTCCTTGATAAACTTCTCCATATTAGTTAAAAAATATGTCTCATACTTGAATAATTTTGATAATTCTTGAACCGACGAGTAAAACTCGCATTTTGCACAAGGATGATTGTTTAAAATAATTAATAAAAGTAAAATGCCGAAAAATTTATTCACAAAATTATGATGGAATTGTTTAACAGAAATTTCCATGATATACACTACACTTCGTACGCAAAACTCTGACACTCTCATCCGGCTAGCGTCAATAAGTAAATTAACCTTTGTCTATGAAAATATATTTGATTTTTTCAAACATTTAAGCTTTTAACCCATAGAAGAAAGCTTTTAAAAGAATGTTAGAACTAAACTCGTTCGAGCTTATAAGCCAGACTTTGCTCGGGTCATTGTGCTAAGAAGAGGTTTAAGAGTTCAAATAATTATAAATTTAAGATATTTTCAACTTATTAAACGCTGGATTGCAATCATCAGAGAAAACCTAAAACAATATATTTAAGCAACTACTCTAATGTAAATCTTAGGCAAATTTAAGGACAGGCTTAGTCTAAATTATTATCATTGTTTCTTGCATTTAACACAATCTGCTTTCTTCAATTAATTTAAACTTAAAACCTCCAATCTTTTTATCTACAATATATGTATGTACGCATATATTATAAGTCATCCACTTTCATAATGCTTGTTATAATCTATATTATAATGTTACCTAAAAATGTTTATGTTCATGGAGCAGTTAAGCAAAGTAGACCCAAATTTCAATAGGAGAGATTTTCTATTGTTTAAAAATACACTTAATATTATATAACCAATAATTAAACAAGATTATTATATTATTTTAGCTTTAATAATTAGTGTCTATAACAGATTTTAATATTTCATTCCATTTTTAACATTTCATTAGATCATATATTACTCCCTGGCACAGGGCTTTGTAAATAGTTGATTTCGTTCCCTTATCCACTTATTGCATACTAAATTAAGATATGTACAAGATATTCAGTATGTGTTATCTGTACCAAACGATGAACGGTTCAAACTCACCCCATTTGGATCCAACTATAACAGGACAAGCTGCATGCAATGTCAACCAATTTCCGTCCCCTCTATTGTTAAGATTATACCACATAACTGCCATGCCTTTCCTTGGTAAAACAGATGTTTCTATATTTGGAAAAACCGTTGCACCTCCTTGTTCAACATCACTTAACTAATGAAACTTATAACTGTTAATATTATCATATAAAAAAATTTTATATATATTACGTAAAATAGGACAGTTGCAATTCTATTTCCAGTTGTACGTATAATTTCGGTATCCTAACTTGTGAAAAGATTAAGAAACTTTGGTGAAATAAAACATATTACTTACCGCAGAAACATTAAAAAAGTCATAATGTGTATCATAATGACCTCCGAGACCGTAATTCATCACCTGCAACATTTCCGATCCCACCAAATTAAAACCTGTCATGTCAGTTATCCGCTCATTGAGTCGTATTGTCACATCATTTGTTTTATCATAAAACCACGCGAATTGAGAAGTTCGCCTGTCAACCACAACACTTTTACTAGAATTTTCACTATAGACTGTAGCTCTTTTTAGTTGTGGTATTGCCATATGTTTGAGAATAGCTATTTCTTTGTCAGATATCACATCATGGTAGATAACCATGTAGGGATCTAATTGCACAATCTCCATTTTAAGAGGTGCAATTCGTAGAAATGGCGTAGTCGTGGTATTAAAAGTACAATACATTTGAGGCATTTTATCGTCGTATTCTCCACGGCATCCTCGTTCATAATCAGATGGTTCCTTAATCGAATACTAGATAAATATGCTCAGACTTATTACTTATTTATTTCTTTGCAATAATATTAACTTACAACTTTGGGTGGTGACTTATCTACTCTTATCTTTGCTTTAATATCAATTTTTTTACTCAGAAGTGTTGCACTTCGCGGAGATAAATCAATTGCCTTATCTAATACTAAAAGAGCATCTTCTGGTCTATCTAAAATTCAAGTTATAGAATGAAAAGTACTTTCAAAAAATATATTAACATATGCATTCTTACTATGCTTCAGCATTGTTTCCGCATACATTTCTAAAATCTTCACTTTATTAAATTCAATAGCAGTAAAAAGATCATTTTGATCATATGACTCTAGCGCGATATATAACCAGAACCCTGCATCATAGTACATCTCTCGATCAAACAGCCCCACTCCTATTGTATAACAATCGAGTGATGATAGTTTGGCCCTAAAGACACACAAATTGACAATAGTTTATATTTATTTTGAAACATTACTGCTAAAATATCTTTATAAGATTAGCTTACTCATATTGATTGCCATGTAAGTAACCAGCTGCCATTTCGGATGCCTTTAAGTCATAAGTTCTTTGCAGGCGGTAAATTGCAGATATTGCTTCGGAAAGATCTTTAGCGTCAGGCACATTTTCCCTCAACTGCTGCACAGCTTTTATATTAGCTAAAAAATTTATTTATTTTTTTCGTACAATGTAAGCAATCTTAGCATTCTTATATTTGGTCAACACATGTTTACCTTCACCAACGGATTTCGACATAAACAGTTCCCAACTAATCCAATCTGCTTGCATACGACGCATAAGTGAAAACGCATTTAAGGGATTCGATAAATATTTCTCTGGATCACTTTTTGATTTAAGATTTTCCCGCCGCATCATAGCCGCACCGCTAATACAAATATTAAAACTATTATTCTTAACTCATAGATCCAGACTAGTATACCTGCGTATGATACTCAGTTTTGTTTGTAATTCATTGGCAAAGTTTTCTAACTCTGCTATAAGCTGAATCTCTGTTCTTAGCAATCGCTCCATGTTCGCGATAGCAGTGGTGAAACTCTTTTCTTCCTTAATGTTTTGACATAATGCCGCATTAATAAGCAATAGCACAAGCACATATTTTAATTGTTGAGAGTACATCCTCCTAAGAAGTAAACGTCGCGACGTTCTTTTTTGTCTACGTGATTTTCTTTTATATTTGAAAGCGATCAAATAACCGTTCGATCCAATACTTAGTTGTGATAAAAGTCGAGAACTTGTACATTTTTTCTTTTATACGTTTATTTTGAAGTATTCTGTTAAGATAATACACCAACGTTATTGTTAAATTTTTGCAGTGATAATTTCGTTTTTTAATTTTGGCAGTAGCGGTTGCGGGTGTTCAATTAAAACCTAATTTATACTAGAATTCTTTAATAAGATAGTTTTAATATGGAACTTTATATTTTAAATGAAGTTCTTTACATTAAGGTGCCGAAGTGCTAATGACGCCCATTAGCGTTTTCATAAATCTTACTTCAACAATTTCTAATAGTTGCTTTAAAATGTTGGTGCCGAACCTGGTCTCTTTACTGATAAAATAAATTAAAGTGGAGTAACTTGTACACGCTGAGATATTGCTTGATACCGATTGTGTAGACTCGTACGAATGCCAATGACTATGATTTCATTAAGTTACTGTTATCAGTTGGGCTGCCGGTGGGCATTCAGTTCCATAATTAGTTGTTGCTGTCAGTATAAAAAATTAGAAATATGCATTGTTTCAAGATCCGCTGCGTACAGTTATATTCAATATACAGTTTTTTTTGTGTGTAAAAACAATTCAATAAAATTTAAACATAAAAAAAAGCTCAATATTTTTAACGCAAATAGTTATTTTAATAATCATCTATTCTGCTATTTACTATTAAACTTTTTTAGCTGCATATTTACATTTATCCAATATATGTATATAATATATATATATATATATATATATATATATATCGTATCTTAAATGAGCTCATTTCCACTCGTTATTTTATAAAAGCGTGGTTCAGTGGATGTTTCAGGGTTCAAATCTCCCCGACGAATGTCTTAAATACTATTCAAAATACTAGTATGAAGAGTATAACACGTAACATAACATGAAGTATGTTTTGTTTGTTGTAATTCGTTTGTCATTAAATGTCCAGTGTTTCTTTAAATTCTCTAACATAAATAACTCATTTACTAAACATTCATCCAGCAGCTGTGCAAACAAGCCGAAACAAATATGCACCATTATTCATCAATGCTTTAGGATGGCAATCACAAAAACCAAAAAATATGAAGACCAAGTCAGTAACGTCATGCAATTAACAGTGAATTAGTTCTCTTCGAAATCTTGATACGACTGTTTCGCTATGATTGTATCCATTAGCATATCATTATTTTTATTACAAGTTATTTTTATGAAATCTAGTAACTGTGATTATTACACTTCCATAGCAGGTTTGGACAACGTTTTGAGTGTGGAATTTTACTTAATAGAACTTTTTGACGTTTACATTACACAGGCAGAGGAAGTGAACAATGCAGTGAAAAGGTAAGAAGTATAAAAATATTGTTTTACAATATTCGAAAGAAGTTATTCAATTTAAAATTATATACCTAACTGCTAATACAGGATAGTTTTTGATATGGAGAAAGAAATGAATAGCTCATTGACATTATTGGAAACGCATTATCAAAACCCTTTGCACGCATTTAAAATATTAAAAAGATTGGTGGTAGACTGGAAACAAGTGGAAAAACTATTCATTACGAATGAAATTGCCGAAGGTATATAGTCATTTATCTATATCACATGTATTTTATGAAATTATACAATATATCGCACATAGTATTTTCACAAAATTTAACAAAACTTGAAGGCGTGGGGTTTAAATGGCCAACAAGAGAAGATTTACAAGGCGCAAGTAACGGTTTAGTGCGATTGCAACAAACATATAATATCAGTACCAACGACATAGCAAATGGCACAGCACTTGGAAAAGTGTTAAGCAGACAACTGTCAGCAGCAGATTGTTTTGAATTAGGAGTCACCTTATATGAAACTTCAAATTTTCAATTTGCTATTGAGTGGTTAATGAAAGCAAAAGTTCGCTTAGAAAATGAAAGTTTAGACATAAATTATACACTTACCTTTCCACGCGTTTTCGATGCACAAATTTTGCACTACTTATCACTTACTATGTTCAGTATAGGCAAGTCTTAATCTAAACAAATGAAATAAATCCTTTGTAATTTATTATTCCAATTTTCTTTAAGGCAACTTAAAAATGGCACAGCGTTTCAATTTTAAACTTTTAATCCAGGATCCCGAAAGTCAGGAAGGGCTACAAAATAAAATTATTATTCTTCAGAATCTCTTAGATGATAGACGTACACTTTACGTTACTGACTCTAACCAAAAAAAGGTATTTGAGAAATGCTGTATTGTATAATTTAATATACACTTTATCAAGCTGTTTTTTTTTTCAAAAAGGATAACTTGCAGGAACTATACGAAAAGGTTTGCCGCAAAGAAATTACGCAAACGCCAACACAACAACGCGTTCTTCATTGTCGCTATGTTACTAACAATACTCCTTTTGCCACAATTGCTCCCTTTAAAATGGAGATACTTAATCAAGATCCTTTAGTAGCATATTACCATGAAGCGATA